TGGTGATATTACTACCATCCGGAGCTTCAGGAGCTAGACCATAATGAGCTTGGAACAACATCATATACCCAAAGATGGTCAGCACCTCATCCACCAACAAGACTCTGATATATGACCAACAACATAACTGTTATCGAGCATGATGATGGTACTCTCATCATCGTAGTCAAGTCCATATCATGATCATGAGCAACAATGATCATTCGTCATGAGGCTCAACCATTATCATGATGATAATGCTACAACGGCTAGGTGAGCAGTAGCCTCAACTACTGCCACTTTATCATCAACCTCTATCATTGGCACTCTCGAAGATGTGACCAGCATCTGGGGAATACGTAACAAACATAAAGGAACCCCATTCGATATTCACCCTACTTGACTTCATGCCAGCTGGATCATACACTACGATGCTCTCAAGCCGAGCACGACGTCCACTAGGGGTAAGTTGTCCCCGTGCCTCCGTAGCTCTATCAACTTCTCTCTACTCGAATGAAACCATCTCGGAGGACATGGGGTATATCAAAGCCTACCTCTCCATTGCCTCCATCATCGAAAGCATTGCCTTCCTCCTCACTCTCATACCCCATCTCGAACTCAACTTCGCCGCATAACTCCATACACCTATAGGAGGAGGCTATGGGAACTGTGAAGGAGAGACGGTAGGAGCAAGTACCACGTCACAATAGCCATCCGAGAGAGGATGAATACTGAGGAGAGCAGGAAGAGAATACAGGCCGTCAAGGCCAAGTAAGCACTGAACAACAACAAGAGGCAAGCACTGTATAGGGGGTCTGCTTTCGTATTGGCCGCTCACCTTATACTAGGATGGTGCGACGCTTCACTCCCCTCTACCAAAAGGGCTGCCCCCAATGAGGTAGAACTAGGGGTAGTTCCACTAACTATGAAGGGTAGAACCTACCGAGGAACAGCGAGAGAGTAGTCGACGCTACCGCTGTTGGCATATGTTGATGATAGTCCTACCTGCTTCGCTACTGGGCAAACCTTCTTCACTAGAAGTGTTGCCGGGAAAAGTGCTATGAGGGATGCCTATATGTGATGAGGTAATCGATAATGGAAGGGATTCGGGCTCTACCCTACAAAGGTAATGAATAGGAGAGCCATGACAATGCCTGTAGCCCATTTAACAATATACATGGCCTTATCAGCTCGGTTGGGCTCAACAAATATCGCGCTTAACCGTCTGCGGTAACTAAACCACGGTGATGATGGTCAAGTAGTTAGCCTGACTACTACCCGAATCTAGATGTACCGGTGACTATAAAGG